CAAGTTACAAAACAACACCCGTAACAAAAAAAAAAAAAAAAAAAAAAAACGGCAATGACAGGCTAGGGATGTAGCTCAGGAGCACCATGCTGGTCTCGCAAGTTTAAAGTCCTGAGTTCAATCCCTAGTACTAAAAATAAAAAGCCAGTGAGAGCTGGGCATGGTGGCACACTCATGTGACCCAAGAACTCTGGGAGGCTGAGGCAGGAAGATCTCAAGTTCAAGCCCAGCCTGGGCAATTTAGTGACTCAGCAAGACCCTGTCTCAAAATAAAAAATGAAAAGAGGTGGGTCTAGGGATGTAGTTGAGAGCAAAGGCCTTAGGTTCAATTCCTAATATGGCAAAAAAAACCTCTCTAAAAAACGAAGCACCAAAAACCTTATCATTGATTATTTGGTTCCCTCCCAACAAAAGCAGTATCGGACAGTATTTTTCATGGGTGCATAGTTACAGGCCTTGGCTCTGTTATTCCAGGGTTCAGAGCTTTTGAGGATGTAGCCACACCCTGTTTCTTGGGAAACCTGTTTCGCTCTCGGTTCTCAGGAGAGCGAAGGCAAGACCAGCCCAGCACCTGTGTCCTCCCAGCAGGCACCTGACCCTGCTTATCATCTCCAGTATCTGTGAGTGGCACTTGCTACACACTTAGTTTCAGTGCCAAAATTGCTACAAGCACTTGAATAGGTTGTGCATACAGATCCTGTGCCCTGAGCTGTTGTCTCTGGTCACAGCTGAGTCTCTGCCCTGAGGATTTCAGGCCTGGAATGCTGGGGATGCCTGACCCCAGCCTTGTTCATCTCTGAGCTCTTCCCATTGCTGAGCACGGCTATATTGTCCTGGTGTCTGCCTTACAATTGTGAAGGTCCATTTGACAGTGACTGCAGTCATTCCAGGCAGCTGGCACCTGCTTGCCTTTACTCAGATAGAATCCCACTGAGAAAAACTAAGCCAGGTGTGGTGGTGTACATCTGTGATCCCAGCACTCAGGAGGCTGAGGCAGGAGGATCACCTCAACTTCCAGGCCAGCCTGGGCTACACAGTGAGTTCAAGGTCAGCCTGAACTACATAGTGAGATCCTGTCTCAAAAAAAAAAATTGCAATATAGCTTTGTTGTTGTTAAATATTTAGTTGATGAGGAGCACAGATGGTATGTTTAAAACATAAATGGCTCAGTAATTACTGTGCATCACGCTTAAGAAAAAGAATACTTTCCTGCTCTTAAAGTTCCCTGCGTGCTTCTCCCCAGCCCACCTCCTTAACATTCAGCACTTAATTCATGCATTTTTTTTCTCACGCTGTTTGTAAATTTTGGCCATTATGTATGGGTCTCGAAATAATATGTTCATTCAATTGGCATCTTTGGGAACTTTATATAGTGAATTTTTGTTTCCTTCCTGCCTTTGTCCCCTCTTTCTTTCTTTTTTTTGAGACAAGGTCTTGCTATGTAGCCTAGGCTGCCCTAGAACTAGCCATGATCCTCCTGCCTCACCCTTCCGAATGCTGGTGCTCAGATGGGTGCCACTGGGCTCTGCTGTGATGGACCACTGTGCTTTGCTTTCCCTTGACATTATAGCCTGAGATCAGGCTCCATTATTGTGGGGCTTTCTTTATTCCAGTGTTTCTCTAGCAAGGGTGGGGAGACTTACAGCATTCGTGTTATAGTGTGCTATTTGTTATCAGTGAAAACTCTAAAAGGTTTACCATCATTGCTTCTAGGCTAATACCTTCTCATTCTGATACTGAGGGGTGAACCCAGGGCCTTCACACTGAATGATATCCCAAATCCTTAAAAATATCTATATCTATATAGATATAGATAGAAAAGATATAGATAGAAAGATAAAGGTTTATATCTATATCTGTATCTATATATATTAGGAGCTGGGTGTGGTGGTGCACACCTGTAATTCGAGCACTTGCGAAGCTAAGGCAGAATGCTCCCCATGAGTTTGAGGCCAGCCTGGGCTCCACCGTGAGTTCAAAGCTAGCCTGAACTATATGGTGAGACCCTATATCAAAAACCCTAAAAATAAAATAAATAACTAATTTTTTTTTTCAGAGACAGGATCTTGCTAAGTCACTACATTGGCAAGGTTTGTCTCGAACTTGTGATCCTCTTGCCTCCACCTCCCAGAGTTGTGTATCTTAGGTGGCGGAACCACTGAGCCAAATTCCCTGCCCTGTGTATCTTTTTAAAATGTGTACTAGATAATGCCAATTATTTTACAGTATGATTGTAAAGTGCAAGACTATACTTTTACTAGCCGTGATTAATATATAAGCACAGAAACAAGAGCATGCACGAACTGCACTTACAAACCCGTGAGGGCCGCATACACATGCACGCACATACACACTACACTCACAAGCCCGTCACACACCACACACACAGACATACAGGGCACCACCACACCTACTCTTGTACACAAGCGCACTGACACAATCGGGCACACGCATAGACACACGCACACCCTCACAGGGCAGGGCTTCACACCCTCACAATCCCACAATCCGTCCATCACGCATTCGGTACACAATCTTGACGTGGCTTACTCAAGGGGCGGAGTCTCCGCTCTGCGCGTTTGGAGAATCTTGTCCTGGCCGCGCCACCGTCGGACGCCAGGTGTCAGAGGTCACGGTAGCGTTGGCCGTGGCGTTTTTATTTTTTGGATTTTTTTTTTCACCCGGAAACCACGGCTGCTGGAGTCAGCGCCGAGCCCGTGTCGCCGCGGCAGTGGGAAGCGGGCCGGCCTCTGGTCCCCTCATCGGCC